AAATAATTCAAATACGTTACGGCTGAGGTATTTACTACTTACGGCCGAGTTATGAAAAAAATCATTTTATTTAGAGGGCCATTTGTATATTAACATTATGTCTGGTTCTAATAATGTCCAGATTTATAACATTAAATCACAATAAAAATTTCACACTTTCAGCCCATTCACATTCTATATAGATCGACTTTCTAGGAATGGAAGTTAAGTATGGCCTCTGTGTGTTTAGGGTTTAGATGGTGTTGGTTTAGGGTTTAGGGTACAAACATGAGCTAATTTTATGATCATTAAAAGATGAGTGAATAGAAGAAGTTAAATACATCTTATAAACGTTGTTTAATTTCAGATTAAATTAAATCACGAATTTAACACATAACAATTCGTGGTTTGGCCGAGTTATGACAACAACACGGCTGATGTGCCACAGATTAATTCGTGGTTTGGCCGAGTTATGACAACAACACGGCTGATGTACCACAGATGAATTCGTGGTTTGGCCGAGTTATGACAACAACACGGCTGATGTACCACAGATGAATTCGTGGTTTGGCCGAGTTATGACAACAACACGGATGATGTACCACAGATGAATTCGTGGTTTGGCCGAATTATTATAACGATATACGGCTGAGTTACTCAGATTAATTCGCCATTAACAAATACATAAAAGAGAATTCATACAAACAATACTACGACTGACAAGTTTTAGCATTATGCCCAGCTTGTTTACATCGAGAACATACATGTTGCTTCCTAGGGCGTTTGTTTCCAATGGCAACTTCCAAAGATGATTTAATCCTAATTTTCTTGGGCCTTCCTGGCTGGTTTACAACAATCGGAGGCAAGCACGGTTGGTTAACTACAATTTGAGGAACAGGGATTGCCGTATCGGAAGGCATGATTGGAGCAGCGTATGCGCTAACCAAGTAACTTCTCTTATAGTAAGGACTGCACAGGGATATACGAGACACACCCATATGCTCTGCAGCTGCGATTGCATGTATGCATGGTAATTTCTCGTGGTCGAAACGACGGCATGTGCATTTTTTAGAATCCACATTTACAATATGCAACTGTGTTCCATAAGTTACCTGCACGCGTAAAGCATCAATCGTTTGTACACCCATAAGTCTTGCCGCGGTGACACGGGCCTATTAGAGGGGAAAAAAAAAACAAAATACGTTAAGTCTGATTTATGGAAATAATGACTGGTTTAAGAACGTTTGACGACTGACTTATGTAAGCAGTTACAGCTGAGTTACCTGCAACAGTTTTTCAACACCTCGTGAGAGCGTTGTTTGCTGCGAATTCGCGTCCACTCTCCGTTCAGCAAACCATCTGGTCATCATAGTCCGTATCGATTCTAACAGTCGAACTATGGGAAGGCTTCTGGACTTTGACAGTGCTTTGTTCATTGATTCCGCAATATTAGTAGTCATTAAATTGTACCTTTCACCCGGGAAATGAACACGCGCCCACATTTGGACACCAGCTCGTTGGAGGTATCCATGTAGGTTTTGATCAGACGCTTCAATCTCATTGAACGCCTCATTAAAATCACTCAGCCTAAAACACCTTGCCGCTTTTTTCACCAGAGGGAACAAATGTTTTCCTTTGAATTTCACCAAAATGTTCTTATACAAATGGTAAGTGCAAATTCCACGAGAAGCCAACGGAAACACTTCACCAATTGCTTTCCCTATTGACTTATGTCTGTCCGAGATTATCGCAAGATCCTTATCGTCAGGGATAACAACTTTGAGTTGCGTAAAAAACCAACGCCAAGAATCATCATTTTCGGTGTCAACAATACCGAAAGCTATTGGATAAATCTGAAAATTACCATCCTGAGCTAGGGCTGTTAGAAGGGTCCCTTTGTAACTTCCATGGAGAAACGTACCGTCGACAACAACAACTTTGCGCATGAAAGGAAACCCAGCAATACTGGCACCAAAAGCAATGAACACATAGTTGAATCTTCCTTCATCATCAAGTTGAAGACGCGTGACTGTACCCGGATTTGCCCGTCTTATCATGTATAGGTAAGAAGGCAGTTCTTCAAAACTACTCTCAGGAGTTCCCTGATCGATCTGCCTTGCATACAGGAGCGTCCTATGTGACTTCCAATAACCCATCTGTTGACACCAACATATCGTAACTATAAGTCAGCCGTAATATATATAACCCAGCCACAATGTAAACATAAGTCAGCCGTAAGATATAAGTCAACCACAATGTAAACATAAGTCAGCCGTAATATATATAAGTCGTAAACTATAAGTCAGCCGGAATGTATTGATAAATCAGCCGAGATGAGAAAAAGTCAGTCGTATAGTAATCAATAGGTCAGCCGCGACACAGTAATTACCTTTATTCTAAAATGCTTATTGATAATTACTCCGACTGATTTAGGTTTAACATCCGCACCAACGTCACCAAGAAAGTCCCTGTAAAGACCTCCCAAAACATCAGGTGTTGCTTGTCGGGATCGATTAGAACGTTCCGTCACAGAACATGTGTGTTCCGAATCGTATATACGAACATAAAAATGTGGCTCATCCCCTTGTGTAGATGCACGAACTCTCCATCGACATTCATCAACCCAGCAAACAATATTCACTGCGGTCGGATTTGAGACTGGTACATTAAAATCAAATCCATCCCTTACCGCAAGAAGTTTGAGTCGATACACCAAATCTTCTTTGCTCCGGTATCGTTGACCTACAGCGAGGTTTAGCGAAGACAACTCCAACCTTAAAGCCTCCGAGTCCCCAGCCGATCCGGCCATTTCAATGTTCTGAGGTTTCTTCTTAGGAGGCAGAGACGGTGAATCTTCGTCTTTATTCTGAGGATCGCCGTATACAGTAAAGTTATCATCATCAGATGAGGCACCATCGGAGTCGTCGAAAACATCAAATCGGCTTGAAAATTCATCATCTTCTTCTTCGTCATCTGCTTCTTGGTCACCTGCTTCTTGGTCACCTGCTTCTTCGTCTTGATTTTCACTATAATCATAACAGAAACCTTCAAATCCACCATCGGGAACTTCGTATCTAGATTCTAATTTTGAGCCAGAACTGGATGGCCGTTTCATCCTTCCTCTCGATCCGTCCTTCCGACTAATTTCCATATACTCTTTCACCGTAAATTCCACACAGAGACGTAGTTGATCGATTTTCCGTAGGCTTAGAAAACATTGCAACTGTCGATCATTGGAGACATAAACTGGTGGAGTATCAAGCGACATATTTTTCATAGCCTTCTTCGAGAACATGTAGCTCAGCTTTAACTGATGGCTCAACTCATTCAATCCGTAGTCATCGAGCACCAACTTCACAAGCTTGTCGTGCGTTGTTTCCTCATCTATCTGCACAACTCTACACCCTTTATCGTCGGTGTTAAATACGAATTTGTGTTTCTTTACCCAGTTACCGGAAACAACAATTACCGGAACCGGATCAGTCATATCGGGGTAAGGAAGAACGAAAATGAAGAAGTAAGACGATGACGAGTCGAGTGAAATTTAAGTTCCAGAGATGTGGAAAAACACAGGTGAAGATCGACACAATGAAGAAGAAGATGAGTAGTAGAAAAGACCTTTCGTATTTCCCTTGATGATGATGACATGGAATGATGACATGGAATGTTGCATGCCACGTCATTTTTTTAATTGATGAAGTGGCAAGTAAGCCACCAAACGAAAATGTTAATCAACCGAATTAAACCAGCCATCAAACAAAACTTTAACTCGGTCGCAACATGCATACTATTACAGTAATTAAAAATCGAAAAAAATGCAGCCAAATTCAGCCGTTTAATGTCGTAACTCAACCGAAAATATTTAACTCAGCCGTATCGTTTGATAAGTCGGCCGTAATTGCAAGCTATTCTAGTAATTAATCTTTCGCTACTAAGTCAGCCGTAATTGGGCCGAGTTTTCCATTAACTCAGCTCATTACGGCTGATTTATGACACTAGAGGCTAAATCAGCCGTAACGACATCACATAACTAGGCCGTCTTTGATAACCCAGCCAACCGGAAAAAGTTAACTCGGCCGTGTCGAAGAAATAACTCAGCCAAAATTTTGACAAATCAACCAACGGGTGAAATCTCAGCCGTAACTTAGGCTGGGTTATGCTCGAAAGTCAGCCATTTTCTCATAACTCAGACCGACTTCATTAACTCAGTCGTAACTAATGTCTGAGTTATACTCGTAAGTCAGCCGTTTGCTCATAACTCAGTCATTTTCCATAAATCAGCCGCTACTAACCGTAACTCAGCCGTCACTGCCGCTGTATCGCTTTACGGCTGAGTTCATTAATACACGTCAGCGATTTCTGACGTGGCGACGCGGCTTTGCTGACATGGCAGTGGCATTCTTTGTAATTACGTTTTTTCCTGTAACGTTTAGCAGGGGCACGCTGGGTATAAAAAATATACCCGAAATATGATAGTAATAATAAAAAGATCTGTATGTATCTGGTAATTTCATATAAAATGTTATACACCTGAGTAAAGTTCCCTAAAAGAAAAGGAAAGAGCATTGAGCACACAGTGACTGAAAGCTATAAAGTAAGATTGTAAGTTTTTTTTTCAGATTGAAATTTTTACAGAGATTTCAGCAAAGGAATGAAAAAGTAGAAAGTAGAAAGCGAAAGGCATTTTTTTTTTATGGGGGCGAAAGCAAAAGAGGATTAGAGAGGAGAAAGCTGGTTTTGGTTAAAGAAAGACAAAAAGGAATGTAACACTCTTTTAGATTTGACATTAAAGAAGCTTGCGAATGTGACTTTGCAGGAGCCATATCAATAATACATTGAAACCATGCACATTCATAAATAAAAAATATTCATTACTATAATCAATACTATATGATAAATAAGATTCACAATGGGCATTGTTGTGATTGGGCTACGACGACCCATTAGTAGAGTCCATGGACTTCTAAAAATTTGCGGATCAAAGTCTTGAAATTTTTCACTATCTAAGTCTTAACTAGTTCAAAGCCATTCACCATTCATTAAAGCTTTCAGTTTCAGGATTCAGATTTGATATACAGAGGAAAACACTGACACTATCTGTGTTCTTGTCAACAACACCAAAATTCAATCTCTGCAACTCAAAGATCTCTAAATCTTCTTATCGTTAAGCGAATTTACACATGGCATCAGATCTAGGGTACTACTGTTAGAGTAATAGATAAATGTAAATCTTCCAAATCTAGTTATGTAAATCTCTAGTGTATATCTTCTAGAATCTTCTCTTGTAAGCCTATATATAGAGGCCTTTCTATTCATTAATAGATACAATTTTACCAATCTTACATGGTATCAGAGCAATCGATCAAACCACAAAAACCCTAATTTTTTTGACAAAGATGACTATTCCTCAACGGGGGCATATATCGTTTATCTTGGTTCCCATCCGATTTCTTGGTCGTCTAAGAAGCAAAAAGGAGTCTCTCGTTCATCTACCGAAGCAGAGTATAGAGCGGTGACAGAGGCAGCCTCGGAAGTGAAATGGGTTCTATCTCTTTTATCTGATCTTCGTATCCGGACTCCAACAGCTCCCAAGGTTTATTGTGACAATATTGGAGCTACGTACTTGTGTGCTAATCCTGTGTTTCACTCTCGTATGAAACACCTTGCTTTGGATTACCATTTTGTACGTGAGCTTATTCAAGCCGGTGTTCTTCGTGTTCTCCATGTCAACTCTATTGATCAACTCGCCGACGGTCTTACTAAACCACTACCACGGGCTCGTTTCCAAGATCTTCGTTTCAAGATTGGAGTAACCAATGGTTCTCCATCTTGAGGGGGCATGTTAGAGTAATAGATAAATGTAAATCTTCCAAATCTAGTTATGTAAATCTCTAGTGTATATCTTCTAGAATCTTCTCTTGTAAGCCTATATATAGAGGCCTTTCTATTCATTAATAGATACAATTTTACCAATCTTACAACTACTACTAGGGATAGTAGAGACTTACGCTATTGCTCTATGTGCATTGAACAACTCCATCAATGGCCTCATGTGTCACTGAGTTGCAACTTCTTTCTCACCTGCTCCAGCTGTTACACAACAAAACTGTATTAATATCACATGAAACGCAAATATTACATTTGCTACTTTGTATCGACGCTTACCACAGTCTTGACTCGATCATTGACAGCACGGGTTCCTCCAAAGACACAATCAGAATGATAAGGGCTACGAACAATCACTTCTCCCATTACCACCATGTCTTTATTATCCCAGCGTATAGGAAGCCTGGAGAATGCAGCATCACATAACATTCAATCAAAATGACTAAATGCTGAAATTCAATAGAAATTATCATCATAAGCATACAACCATTTGTCACCACCGGTTCTTATTTGCAAAAGGAAGAAAGCTACGGGTACACAACATAAGTAGCCTACAACAATGTGGAATTCAATATAAGCAAACTGACCCAAAGATAGCAACAAAACCTACCTACTTGCTTTCTTTGACAATTCTACTCCATTATAGTATATTGTTCTTTCACCAATGCCATGACAAGTAGTCCAACATTTAGTTAATATTTTATTTGAAAGCAGCAACAACTGAAGCCAGGCTAAAGACACAATTTGACCATAGAACAAGTATATAGTCCCAAAAAGCTTGCATCTTATTGAAACCACAAGCACTAAAAACGCAATGCCATGACAAATATGACAACTCTAGTAAAGATTTGAGTTCTGATGCTGATTTACAGGCATTTTTACAGCAGCAAAAACTGAAGCAAGGCTTAGAATACATTCCACCATAGAGCATCTTGTGGAAACCAAGAACAATACAAACACTAAACTGAATCCAGAATCAAAATCTAAAGAGTTCAGAAATCCATTCGCAAACAGAAGCAAAAGCTGTTTAAACAATCAAAAGTAGCTAAATCAAGAACTTCTTCACACAAGAACTAGCCTAAACAATAACAAGATTCGATTGTACAACAAAATCATTATCATCCATTCAATATAAAGAACCAAAAAGATCCTTACGTTTTAGAAATCGCGTCAAAGATCCTCTGCGCTTCTGCGGTAACACCAAAACCAATTTTCTCGACGTTCCTGCGTAATACATTAATCAAAATCAGTGAAAAACTCGAAACAATCATAGCGATTTCACAACAAATTGCAACAATTATCACCTAATGGCTTGATTCTCTTTATCTATGAGTCCATCAAGCTTAACCAAAGTCTTTTTAGCGAGCGGATCCTTCACATTCGCCAGATTCTTCATCTCCGTTATGTATTTCGCATTCACCATCCGTAAGGTCTTCGAATCCAGAGGTTTAGGCTTCGTTCCTTCTTGTAAAATCACTAATCCGTCAAGGAAACCGCAAAATCCAAGTGCGAAAACAATCACAAAATGATGAAATCAAGAAGACGAAGTAAACTACGAGCTACGAGTACTGATTTCGAAAAAGGATATCGAAAATGGCGAAGTTGGGTCCAGAATCATATGCCAAGACAATGCCATTGAACTCATCTCCGGTGATCAGCTTGACAGCGTATACATTCCCCACCGCAAATTTCTCGTCTTCTCCTCCACCGTCGAGTTTAGCCACCGTAGCACTTGCTGGTTTCATGGCGGCGAACGAACTCTTCGGTGGGTTACTCTCTAAAATCGCGGTTTTGAAAAAGTGACGTTTGAAAAATATCTCCGCGTGGACGATATAACAAACTGTAACCGTAAATGGGTTTAAGTTCAAGAGCTATATAGGCCCATTTAAATCTATCCTTGGTCTTTTCTATTTAAGGTATTACCAGGCCTAATTTATTAAAATGGCCCAATTAGAATTTGGTTTAAGATGGATTACAAAATTTAGACCATCTTGAGTTTTGCATATTATTTGTTTTTTTGACTGAAGAAATTGACTGAAATTTCAATTGTTTTCGCAGAGTATTATCCACTGGTAGAATTTTAGTTACTTAATTAGATGTTTATGCTAAATATTAAGAGGAAAATGAAGTGGTCCAGCTGGCATAAATTAAAGTAATCATTTTATTTTGTCAAAAGAGAAATTATAGGAAGCTGGTGAGCTACTACATCACCATTATCTCCTGTCACTACTTTTGATTTTTCAAATCCTGAGTGTCAGTCTTGAATATTGAATTCTAAATCTTTACTAGATTTTATTTTTAATAAAAATTTATATTAAGTTTCTCTAAAAGACAAAGTTCTTTCTTTAGCAAATAATTGTTACACATAAAAGTGTAAACTTTGTAAAATCGATTAGATTTTTGTCTTTAATATTTTAATTATTTTCAGCAAATATTTTAATTAGATGTCGGCCTAAAACTCAAACTAGTTTATAGAGTAAGTAGAACGTCGGTATTTTTTATTTTTCTGAAATCACAATGGTATGATTTGAATCTTGGTTCTCCAAATTCATTATAAATTTTTCAACAACTAGACTACTATAAATTGGGTTCATTTTTAGGAGTTGTGATCCATGAAAAAGTGTTTTCCTTAATTTGATTGATAATTTTATTAGACAAAGGTGATTAGGTTGGCTAATAATTTGAATGGTCGGAAATGGGAGGAGGGCACATGGAAGAATGAAATGGACCGATGTTAACGGAAATGATCACATGTTGTTTAGTCCAGCCTTGCACATGCGTTCTACACATAATGTTTGTTATTATTATCATTTAACAGAGCTATTAATTCTAATTATGATGCATGTAGTGGACAATTACTTATCTTACAGATTTTTGTTTACGTGTTTAAATTTCAAGCAGCTAAATTATTTAAAATAGTGGTTTTATAAGTAAGGATCTGAATGGTAAACATTTAGAGTAAAAAGGTAGAAAAAGTTTTTAGCTCTGATCCATTAATCTGGACCTACTATATTGAGCTAAAACATTTTTTTGTATCACATGTTTTTTTTCTTTAAGCATTAAAGTTTACTCTATGTAGAACTAGAGTAAAAGTTTAAGCTATTTTTTTTTTCAGTTTTATAGTTAAAGACATCGACAAAAAATGACTAATATGGGTGCTCTTATATAAGTGTAGACTAGCATTTATATTTATATATGTTATTTACCCAATCATGATTTGGTGAAATGTAATATTCAGTACAAAATGCATTGTGAATCTGTGATAGACATCTTATTTTGAATTACAAATACAAATGTATCTTTTATTGCTCTTAAAGATTTTACCGTCTAGTAAAATGATTGAAAATCATTACATGTTGGTGGTAAAATCATTTCTGCGTTGACTATGCCATGAAATCATTGAAACCGTACAATAGTTACCACTGGTTCAGTGGTTCTATGATTAAAAATGTGTAAAGTGTCAAACTTTAATATTGTCAGCGAACAGTATTAAAAATGTATCAAGTGCCAAAAAAAAAAAAACTCCATCTAACAGTGATTAAATTATTCCTCATGGGATATATACGAATAATTAAGACTTCAGATAAAAACGCTTAAGTAAAGTCTTTGAACTACAATGCTTACGTGTCACAATCTTATTATAGGGTTAATTAACTTTTAATCAAACTAACATCGCGGCACGTTATGTTGACTTAAGACCATTTTTCTGTGTACACTGACAATTATACCCTGACACGAGCAAAGCAACAAAGAATGCCATCGACGCATCAAGGGCTAATTCCGTCATTATTATATTCAGAGTCAAAAAAAGCCATCAGAATCCGTCCAATTTCTGACTGGCCACTCACTGAAGAAAGACAACTTGCTTCTCCACCACAAGCCACAAACTAATAGATTTGTTTTGATGATTTATAATAATCTTTATATATACTATTTAGCAACCAATTAATGATGATGATACTATGATAGTGCAAATTTATTAATAAATCTCCTTAAAAAAAATTAAAAAACCTCATTAACGAAAAGTGAATAGAGTAGTAGGTCAAAAAAACAAAAAACTAAATTCCGGCATTTATTCATATGCGGTAGACAAATATTTTAGAATTTCTCTACGCAAAAAGTAAAGAAAAACCTATTTACAACTGTCCGAAAAAAATATTTATAATTTCATGTGGAAAATATTGTAAATTAAGCACAAGAACAGCAATGACATAGACTAATAAATAAAATTTCGAGTAAAATAATCCTCCATGGTCCAAAACCATTGAATCACTCGTTTCGTCTCGTCTCGTCTCTTCCACATAAAACAAGAACAACCACCAAAAAACCGATGTTGACATATACTTTGAAACAAGACCATACCAATAATCAAAACCACAAAGACTAACAAGGCCAAAAGAGAAGAGAAGAAGATAAGATCGTTGTTCTATGATCCTGAAATGGGATTGAAAGAGCAACAAAATTGTCTGAGTCAGAGGAAGATCATAGTTTTTATAGTCTTAGCTTTTATACCAATAGCTCTGTTTCGACTCTGTTTTACTAATCCTTTCTCCTCCATTGATGACACCTCTCTTCAAGAATCTGTAGCTCACGTTGTGATCACCAACTACTCTTCTTCTTCTTCTCAAGGTAATATTGAACTTATTCAATATTGTGTATATGCAAACTCAGTGGATTTAACTTTAGGGTTGGTGTCTAAATCTGCAGAAGAAGAAACTCAAGAGAGTTATGATCATATAAAGGACGAACCTTTATGCGATTATACAGAAGGGAAATGGGTCAGAGACGAGATTGGTCCATTCTACAATGGTTCGACATGTGGAACAATCAAGGAAGGTCAAAACTGTTTCCGCCATGGTAGACCTGATTCCGGTTATCTTTATTGGAAATGGAAACCGAACCAATGTGATATACCAAGATTTGACTCGAACCGGTTTCTTGATCTTATGAAAGACAAGCATCTAGCTTTTATCGGTGATTCCATGGCTAGAAACCAGCTTGAGTCTCTTATATGCTTGCTCTCTACAGTGTCTAGCCCTGATCTCGTGTATAGAAACGGAGAAGACAATAAATTCAGAAGATGGCGTTTCGAGTCACACAACGTCACGGTCTCGGTTTACTGGTCCCCGTTTTTGGTTGCCGGTTTGGAGAAATCGGGAAACTTGGACCACAATGTATTGCACTTAGACCGCGTGGATGAGAGATGGGGCAATGATTTAGAACGTATTGATACAGTCGTAGTCTCCGTGGGACATTGGTTTCTGCATCCGGCGGTTTATTATGAGTCCGGTTCGGTTTTGGGATGTCATTCTTGTGAAGCAAGCAACTGTACAGAGATAGGGTTTTACGATGTGTTTAGAAAAGCGATAAGAACAACGTTGAAGGCAGTGGTCGGAGGCCGCCGTGAGGTGATCTTGACTACGTTTTCGCCGTCACATTTCGAAGGCCGGCCTTGGGACAGTCTCGGTGCGTGTAATATGACGGAGCCATACGAAGGGAGAGTGTTAGAAGGTTTGGACTTGGATATGCGGCAGATAGAAATGGAGGAGTTTACGGCAGCCAAAGCAGCGGCCGGGGAGATGAGGTTAGAGGCGTTGGACGTGACAGCGATGTCGGTGTTGAGACCAGACGGACATCCTGGTCCGTATATGTACCCGTTTCCGTTCAAGAACGGTGTACCGGAGAGAGTTCATAATGATTGTTTGCATTGGTGTCTGCCTGGTCCGGTTGACACGTGGAACGAGATTATGATCGAGATGTTGCGGCGATGGAAGGTTTAAATGATGAACATTGATTGTTGAAGATCCTATGATATCATTCATTTACACGCATATGCCAAAAGGTGTAATCATTTTTTTTGGGATTTCAAAACGTAGCTAGGTATTTTTGTTTCTTGTCTTGGATTAGATCCCAAAAAAAAAACACATGGATGATACTTTTTTGGTTGGTTATTTCTTACGTTATTCAAGCAATAGAGAAAGGTACAAAAGATATATATGAACAATTTTTTTTTTTTTTATTTAATTTTGCAATATATTCAAATTAAGTAGTTACATGGCATGTACCTTGTTCTTGATTTGGAATCCTTCAATTATTGGCCTTAAACTGTCCATGTACTACAATAGCCACTAGCATGCCCGATCTATTATATTAGGGCGTAGATAGCTGTGATGATGATTAGAATTCCAGTTGTATAATGGACCTGGTCTAGAAGAAAATAGTGTAAAGTAATCGAGTTGTAGTAATAATGATGTTCATGGCCAAAAACATTGTTAAACAAATTTTAATAGCATTTGACCTATTAATTGGTGTATTGGATTTAAGTAAATTTTAAGAGGACTTTGTGGAAGCTAGTGGCAACTGGCAAGAAAAGGATGGGCACCGTGAATAAGAGGATATTTGTGATGTTCTATGCAATTTTGCAGGTATTTTTTTTGGGTTTTGTATTAATTTGTGCAGAGCATAACGACTAAGAGTGTTTTGTCTTTTATTTCCCAACTTTTGTATTGTCTTTTTATTTTTATTTTTTATAAGAGAATCTTCATTTTGTTCACCCTTTCCCCCAGATTTTGCTTACTCAATAGTACATTAGACTGGAAAAAACTTTTTTTTTTGGTGAGATTAAAAACGATTTTAACTTCAAATTGAAGTAACAAGAGCTAATCAAAAGTCTTGAGTAATTGATGTAGCGAGATCTATGAAAATGGGCTTTTAGTGATTGGGCTTTGAGATTTAGGGGTGTTAATTCTGTTTTAGTCATCATCAATTTAGGGTTCCTTATGATCGCAACTTGTAAAGCACGGTAGCTTTACTTTATCTGTTTGACTTCATATGTTTTGTTTTGATTCCCTTATCTGTTTTAACGGTGGGACTAATTTGTGACCGTTGAATTATATAATATTATAAAACCTCTAAAGCAAAATTAAAGCCACACATAAGTAAGGAAAAAACGCTCGACCTCCATTACCAAGAAAGAAGAATGACAACGACGATGATGATCTTCACCGCTGCGATGGTTTTAGTTACTGTGCCGGCAGTCGAAGCACAGAGTGAGTGTGTGAGCAAGATAGTCCCCTGCTTCAGGTTCATGGACACGAAAACAAAGCCGTCGACGGATTGTTGCAACTCGATCAAGGAAGCGGTGGAGAAAGATTTTAGCTGTCTCTGCACCATCTACAACACTCCTGGTTTACTCTCTCAGTTCAACATCACTACTGATCAAGCTCTCAGTCTCAATCGTCGATGTGGCGTCAACACTGATCTCTCCGCTTGTTCCGGTACTTCAATTCTCTCAGATCTTCGATTTTTTAAAATAAGATCTTCCGCGTTGCAATTATGAATCTGAGATTTGCAATTTGATATGTGTTTTGTTTAATTTACAGGTTCTGGAGCACCACCACCACCTGCACATCCTCGACGTCCTCCACCTTCAGCTGAAATTCTCCCTCCACCTCCAGGCAGAGCCGGACCAATGAATTTTGGGGCCCCAGTAGAATTAAAAAAAAATAACATCATAATTTTATAATATTAAAAATTATAAAGTAAAAATAATTAATTTAAACAAAACTATTATTTTAAAAAACATATTACAATTATATCCTTTTAAAAAAATAATAATAACTTAAATCTTATGAAAAATAATTTTTTTGTGGATTTTTTTTCAAAAATTATTCAGCAAACTTGCTATTTTTTCTCATATTTACAACAATTTATAGATATGTATAGCTAAAAAAACATTTCCGTGAGGCCCCTCTAAAGTGGGGGCCCTATTGGAATGTTTCATCACCATGTGCTCAAGTCCGGCTCTGCCTCCAGGTATATTATCAACCAAACTCTTCACCTACGTACTACTCAAGTGTATTAGTTTGTCAATTTTGAAATCGAATGTCAAGTAGCTCTCGTTCACTCCATTGTGTATTATTGAATTATTCAGTTTATTGGTGGGAGTTTATTTATCAAATACAAACTTTATACTCTGCATAAAGTATAATTAATACAAAAGAAATAATACAAATTTTTCCTTTTTTCTGTTTCTTTTTTTCCGTCAACTCTTACAACTTCTATCTTTCTCGTTGAAATTATGAATCCAAGATTTGCAATTTGATATTCAGTATTAGTAATGTTTTGTTTCACTATCAGGTTTGTCTCCATCGCCACCTTCTGCTGTTCCACCTCCAGCTGAGATGCTCCCTCCACCTCCAGGTATAAACCAAACTCTTCACCTACTGCTTATACGTGTAAAATCTCTGCAATATATCTTGGATTTTGTTTTGTTATATGTAGCAATGTCAAAGAGCTTTAAAATAGAAAACAAATGCGAATACACCATCTGGCCTGCAACCTACGGCTACAAGAGATCACTGGAAACAACCGGTTTTGTTCTCGAGAAAGGAGAGACGCGGACCATCAAAGCCCCACCATCATGGACAGGTCGTTTTTGGGGTAGGACGATCTGCTCCACTAACTCAACAGGGGCTTTCTCATGTGCCACGGGAGACTGCGCCTCCGGAAAAATCAAATGCCTCGGTAACCCCATAGATCCAACAACTGTGGCCGAGTTTAACCTCGCTTCATACAGTGATGTCGACTATTATGACGTCAACGTCATCAATGGTTACAACCTCCCTTTGCTTGTGACCCCTGAGAACAAAAACTGCAGAAGCACTGGATGCGTTGTTGACATGAACGAGACGTGTCCCTCGGAGCTAATGGTGAACAGTAACAGCCTCAGATCGCACCATCCAATAGCCTGCATGACCACCTGCCAGAGATACCAGTTGCCCGAGCTTTGCTGTGTCGGACTCTCCTCTGGAATGGTCGTACCACCGGGAATATGCAAGCGGACGATTTACTCGCGGACTTTCAACCAAGCGTGCCCAAGCGCTTATAGCTACATCTACGACTTTGATAACAGCAGTTTCACTTGTCCATACTTCTCCAACTTTGTCATCACGTTTTGCCCGTCTAGTCACAACAAAACCAGGTTAATTCCCGCAACTTCCACCTCTATTTCATTTTCAAAAAAAATTCTATACATGTCTCTCGTTATTTTGATGTTGGATTCCTAACATGTTTGTGGGTAATCCAAACATTTGAGTTTGATGCTTATATGTATATTGAAGATATATATGTAATTAAGTTACTTGTTGAAGAAACATCATTAGCTCAACGGTCCCAAGGGCAGGAAATGTTGACGGTTCTTCCCCCAAGAAAATTCGAGCAGAAGCAAAAGGTAAGTTCTCTGTTCTTTGACCTACGAGAATGTATCATTTTTCTTTCTTTTGTTAACATAAATTATTTCTTTGATACATTTGCAGGAAATTTTCCATTGAAGTTAAAACTCATACTTGGTACACACTTTAGAAGCAACCTGGGAAACTACTCTCAACTATCTTACTTATTTATGATGTATATAACACCTAAGTTTTGATGCTTGTTCTCTTGTAGGAGTTTCATCTGTTTTGGCTACAATGATCATTATTGTGATTGTGGTAAGGGTTAGAGCAAAGAATACGAGAAAGAGTGATTGGAATGAGAAGAACATGGAAGCAGTTGTAATGATGAAGCGTTTCAGTTATGTACAAGTCAAGAAGATGACAAACTCATTTGTGAATGTTCTTGGGAAAGGGGGATTTGGAACTGTATATAAAGGAAAGTTACCCGATGGCAGCCGAGATGTTGCAGTGAAGATCTTGAAGGAGTCAAATGGGGATGGGGAAGACTTCATCAATGAAATAGCTAGCATGAGTAGGACATCTCATGCTAATATAGTTTCTCTGCTTGGATTCTGTTATGAAGGGAGAAAGAAAGCTATAATATATGAGTTCATGCCGAATGGATCCCTTGACAAGTTCATCTCTGAGAAGATGTCGGCAAAGATGGAATGGAAAACATTATACAACATTGCGGTAGGTGTGTCTCATGGCCTAGAATACTTGCATAGCCATTGTGTATCAAGGATTGTACATTTCGATATAAAGCCACAAAACATACTCATGGATGGAGATTTTTGCCCCAAGATTTCGGATTTCGGTCTTGCTAAGCTATGCAAAAATAATGAAAGCATCATGTCAATGCTACATGCAAGAGGCACGGTAGGGTACATTGCCCCAGAAGTGTTTTCCCAGAGTTTTGGAGGAGTTTCTCATAAGTCGGATGTGTATAGTTATGGAATGGTGGTTCTTGAGATGATTGGAGCAAGGAACATAGAAAGAGCTCAAAATGCTGGATCTAATAACACTTCAATGTACTTTCCAGATTGGATATATCAAGATCTTGAGAAAGGAGAAATGATGAGTTTTTTGGCAGATCAAATTACCGAAGAAGAAGATGAGAAGATAGTAAAGAAAATGGTATTGGTGGGTCTGTGGTGTATTCAAACCAATCCATATGATCGTCCGCCAATGAGCAAAGTTGTTGAAATGTTAGAGGGAAGTCTAGAGGCTCTCCAGATTCCACCTAAGCCTCTTTTATGTTTACCCGCGGTAACAATTCCAATAACTGTTTATGACATTCAAGAGACTTCAAGCTTCTTGAAACCAAGTCAAGACACTTCATATTATTCCGAACAAGTTGTTCAAGATATTGTAGAAGAGAATCAAGATAGCTCAAGATCTTCCTAAACCAAGGCCATCAAAAGACGAGTGTTATTCTTACAAGTTGGTAAGGTTTTGAGATCATCTTACCGGTTTGATGATGAAATCTAAATTATATTTTGCTACAGTATTCACCATTAATCATTCATGTGGAAATGAAAACCCAAAATATTCTATGCTTATATTTGGAGATAGATGTAGACATGAGACATCCGACATCGTTGTTAGAAACCTATACAACTTTAACATACGCGACTTTAATTATGTGAATTTTCTCGTAGCCAAATGAAAATTTCTCGCATTGAATAACTTCAACAATGTAGATATTTACACTAGATGTTGTAAAAAGAAGATATTTACATTAGATTTGATGGCAGGAATACAATAGTCGATCCATGGCTTTGGAGATTATTCATTACATAGAAACATAAGAGCGAGCTCTAGATATTCAAAGACATGTATATATACATTGGGCAGGTTTAGCTTTTCGGACCAAAAAGCCTACTTCAGCAATCTCCCATAGTCCCATACGACACTGATCAATTAACTCACTCTCACACCCATTTTTCCTTATTCACGCACGCCATAAAAAGAAGAAAGGGGCCAAAAATATATTTAAGCGACCCTCATTTTCTTCTGAAAAATATATAATACAAAATTCACACAGGACTTTCTTCCTGATTAATAAGCAATGGAACTTTGTGTTCATCTTCTTGGCGATGATGAATATTTTTGATGGATTTTCTTTCTTCATTTGGATTTTGTTTTGCTTCGCTTTCCTTCAATTGTCCCCAAGATACTGTGTAATATCCCACACCAGCTATGGCTGCTCCTAACACACTGCACCCATATGCACCAACAAATATAGCTTAATACTCATGCGTGATAATATGCTAATTAGTATTTAGGATATTGATTAATGAGTCTTTTCGCGTACCTGCCGTAGTGAAGACTGTTGACGAAGAAGCTGGTGCCAAAGAGTGTAGCCCAAAAGATACCAAAGGGTTTGAATAATGGCACGTAATAAGGTCCTTTCATTTGAGTGCACTTTACGTGTACGCTTGTTCGTATCACACTTCCGAATGTTCCCTGTTTTTTTACACATCATCATAGTCACCAATATTAAACACGTTCATTACGATCCATGACTTTGTCTTTATGTATTTCATCTTTTAAAACTTAACTATTTATAAAGTAAATTGAACATAATCTTGTTCTAGTGTAATCGTTATATCACTATACTTGGATTCAAACCTAGTGAAATGCATTGTTATAAAAAGAAAGTAGATTTATACCGTGGCGATAATGAGATAAAGATCGAAGTTAGGTTGGATCTTCCACGCACTTAGGTCGCTCTCCATAAATAACGAGAATATTAGACATTGGATTGTCCCGACTATGCTGTAAAACGAAGCCACTTTCATAACATGTGGATACTTTTTTACTGTCCCTGTCTGCCAAAGACATGCAAAAACAAGAAATATTAACCTCAAAAGTCAAAACTAATTAACATGCATAAGGATAACGATGGTTACAGTAATGGATAATTGAGTACCTGGACAACATTGAATAGGGAGACAGAGAAAACGGCGGCCGCCAAAAAGATACAGCCAAGAAACCAATTGTCGGGGAGGTTGTAGTAGACCAAAAGTTTAGGGACTGATTTAAGAAAACGAGTTGGGGAAGCAGACGAAGCTGGTCTTATGAAGGGACCTTTGTACAACTCTTCAACAAATGCTCCGCTTAATGAGATTATTGTTCCCATCAGTTTAGCCCTCGTGCTCGTGTTTCTCCAATCCAACTTGCTCTTTCTATATATAGGCATCGATATCTATTATATATTTGAAAACGTACTTGGAGATTTTGAAATGGTGATGAGAGATGGCTTACCCGAGAAGAATAGAGAGCAAGAAGGAAAAGGAAGGGATTTGCAATCCCATTGCACATACGACTATGGGTGAGCTGAATCTTAGTCCCACAAATGCCAAGTTTTGGAACATAAATATCCTTCACATATTTAAAAATGTCGCAAAATAATCAGTGCATGTGTATGCATGAATAACATTTTAAGTACGTTCAAAATGCATGCAAATGCGTGTGTACGTTCTCGCAAGTGAGCAAATTATTATGACCCAACATACGTCACACAAGTTTTTTATTTTATTTTAGCAACACAAATAAAACATGGTGTGTGGTATACGCCGCTCACAAGGAAACGTCACGATGTGGAAAATAATAGAACATATTAGGCCTAGTAGTTTATTTTATAACCGAGTAAACGGCACGCAATTTTGTATGTTTTTAATAGATGCATGACGGTGCAAATCCATGTCATAGAATATTCATCAAACCAATTAGTGGTTGATACATGTACGTATAGATTTTCGAAACACGGACCTCATATTATTTTATTTTTGGTTTTAGGACCACCTAGTTATTGTTATTACTTATTGCAAAATAATATTAGTACGTTAAGAATCTGGTCTGCGACTCATAATCTATACGATAGATTCCTAAGAAAACATTAATCAATAAAGAGAGATGATGTACTCACCCGGTGAAACCTAGAAAGAAAACACGAACGAGGAGTGGCCAAGAGAAGATAGATTGTTCTGTTCTGCAAGAATAAAATATCATCATATAAACCAAAGAATATCAGAAAAGAACCAAGATTGATTAGTGATAACATATATACTATGATATAAAATATTGAACGTGGACCGACCTCTCATTCCTGTGGAAGAAGAAAGAAAATGGAAGAAGAAGAATAGATCCAAACGCGTTTGTGTAAACAACGAACACAAAAGGACTCATCCCTCCCGTTAACGCCGTTTTGGCCATTATCGTTAGAGCAATCGTGCACGCTTCCATTATCGCCATTGCTACAAAAGGTACCAACTCATCTCTTCTAACCTTCACCTCCATCTCTCTCCCTCTAGAGTTTTGAAATAAAAACGGCACGACGTCTACAAGCTCCAAAGATTTAGGAAAATAAAAATAAGTAGAGAGAGAAGGAGAGAGGGAGAAAAATCTTCAATGCTATTGGAGAAGATATGATATTATTGGTTTAATTTCTCTAATCATATATAGGGATGGAGGAATTATCATACATTTCTTTTTTATAAATCATTATCTATTATTCAGATATAACCTTTCACGAAGCGGTGAAGCTACTTTACAAGCGTGATGTAGCTACACGAGTGACTCCACCATTGCACTAAGGGTGAGATGCTAACGTCATATTTTTATTTTTATTTTTTTTACTTATCAGAATGTGTGTTATCAAACATAAATCCAAATAGTGTGATGCTGTTTAAAGATCATTTCCTTTTATTTATGTAGTTATACGTCGCGTTTCGTCTTATAAGTTATATAACGTATATAATTATAAGTTAGAGAGCCTGATTTGGAACGTACGTGGGTTCTCCTAATACATCGTCAGACTTAATTAAGATCGTACGCCAACTAAATCAGCGAGATTAAATGGAGACCATACGTTATTTACTTCAAATTTTATCCTAAACTTTTTTTTAACAATTTTCTATAGAATTTATAAACGGATTTATATAGAACCGCTTCATATCACATATGTAAACAACATTATTCAGGAATGACTCTTTTGAGCTCTAATTAATTTTGGATGACAAAAAAAAAATATAAACAGATATATTGTTGCGATAAAAAATAGAGGCCTTACAGAAAGCAAAAAAAAATCAACTAACTTCTTAGAGTTCCTTGTTAATTGGTTTTAAGACAACAGTTTTACGAGGACAATGTCATGAATGGGATTCATTCTGAAACCAATACTATAGCAAATTTGAAGCTTTAGACGGACGAATCATTGGAAAATGATGATACTTGATTCCTTATTTGATGACTAATTGCTTTGAAATTATGGGATTCAAAGCGTACCGTTATATAGTAGCTACAAAACTCAATGACTCAAGCAGCTGAAGAATTTAGAGAAGTTGGAGTGAAAGATTCACAACTCTCAACAGTACACTTGCCTTCATGTTTTATGGATGTCTACGTCATTTTAAAGGTTTTTTTTTTGATAAACCTTCATTTTAAAGTTTGCTCAACTACTTCTAGTCTCTCTTAAATTCCTCATTGATATATTCGAAAACAGAACTCTCACCTAATTTGATTCCTTGGTAAAAAACTATATTCTAATATTCCGTTCACGCCGCCACAAACATGGCATATCACTAAACACAAGGCCATAAAATGAAACCAATAATATGTTTTCATATATTCTAATGGTAGTAGTTACACATTGGACTAGTAACATCTACATTTTTCTTTTGTAACGAAGTCCCTAATTTTGAACGTATCGTGAGATACTACCTTAACTTCCACTAACCAATTTAAAATTACAATTGCGAGCACATATTTTTTTTTCAAAATACCATTGAACGTGAAGTAATATTTAAAGCGCAAAAAACAAAAAAGATACGACAAGGCATTTTGCTGACATATGCAACGTAAACTAAAATCCTATAATTGCGATCAGCACATTAATTTATAGTTTCATACAGTGGGCCAGGTGATTTGTCTACTCTTGGCTGAGGTTAATTAAGGACCCACATTACGAAAATATAAAGATGATGGGGTCCAAATTGAATAATGATAAAATTGATGACTTGATATTTTCGTAAAAAAGAATTGAAGAAAGGTATCATTTCTTGTCAACTCTGCGTTAGACTCCAAGTATTTGATACTGTAATGGTTAGTGGATTCAGATTCATCCAACAAAAATGTTAGGTTATGATGGCTTTAGGCTTTTTAAAATTGTCTCCCTAATTCCTAATATTAGGTCTGACGCTAGGCCGGTGAGTTTCTGATGATGCTTATTTAGACTATATTCATAAGAAAACAACATCAATGTATTGATTTGAATCATACCAATTCGTAGAAAGAAAGAGTTAATTACTAGACCAAACAATTATACAAATTCGGTAAATGCTGTAATATTCCCAATTAATACGTAAATCTTAGATATAAATTGAACTCCAAATGGGTTCCGAATTCTGACCATAGTCAAACTGAGTGACCATACATCTTAAATGATGAAAGCAATTTATGTAATTTTTTTTCTTTGGATTAAAAATTGTTTAATTTGTTCGGCCACGCAAACAAAACAATAAATATATCAACAGAATAAACATGTCATGACTAATGACTATTGTATTAGATATATTTTTAGGTTCAACAATTAAGAAAAACTCTGTTTTAAGTATAAACTAGATCATGACCCGCACGTACGTGCGGGGTTTCATATTTTAAAAAATTTCAAACAAAATTTAATTCAATATAGATTATTTTGTTGTTTTTATGATTAAATCTGGATCCACGTACATGTAGAAATATTTTTATAGAAGTTGTTATATAGATTTTAAAAATATAAAATATTTTGTTGTATTAGTGAACTTCGTAATAATATAAATATTATAAAGTTAGAGTAATGAACAAAATTCAGTTGCGTTAATGCATAATTATATTTTAAGATCCGGACTAATTTATTTGTAAAAGTTAAATGGTGTTACATTTTTATTTTCTTAACTAATCAAAACAGTTCTAACAGTTTGATTACATATGTTAAATAGGATATGAATTCGATTTTAGTTTGGGTTATTTCATGTATATTAGCTAGCCGTAACTATTTTGGAACAGGAAACATATCCCGTCCGGTATCTGTCATAAATTCTTCGTCCCATAACCTGTCCATATCCGGTTGAGAAGAAAAACAAGAAAACACAAAATCTTTCGAAATTAATATGTACAATCTATTGTTTAGATATTTTCGAAACTTGCTCTAAACGAATGCCCAATATCGTTTTTTAAAAAATTGTGAAATAAAATTTTGTTTTATATTTTAAAATTTGTGAAAATATTATGACAAAACTGAGTCTTAAATATTTGTATTTAATTTTTTTACGAAATTTCAAATTCAATCTTAAAATCCTCCATTGATAAAATTTTTTAAACTATAGTGTTTTTAATTTTGAATTAAAATGGTATTATTTTTCTTTTTATTTTCATATAGAATAGTTTATTAGGATTGGTTTAGATAAAATTTTAGTTGGATATCAAATCTTAGTTTTTCAATTCTCATTGGTTAACAACTTTTTAGAAAAAAAAATTAAATTTTCGTCCATAATTAATAAGAGAGAGAAAGTGAGTTTAATTTTTTGGAAACTAATAATTAGTTCAAAGAATTTTATTATTTTTATTTAAATATATTATTTTGTGATTACTATTGTATCTTTAATGAATTTATTTAAAAACAAAAACCAATGGCATTTTTGTAATACTTTACACTTTATAAGGTTATTTATGTTTGAGTGCTTCCCAATTAATAGTATAAATATATATCAATATATGTGACTCTTCATTGGGGTATTAGGACCAAATTATGAGCATTCCCTTGGTTAGGTTTGAACTTTTAATTATGATTCAAATACAATAAGACAAACAAGTATTTATACGAATAACTCGCTCACAAAAAAAGAAAGTATTGATATGAATTTAGTAAAGAAAAATCAGTTTTTAGTTTCTTTCTTATTCTTTTATTTGGATTTATACAATATCTACAAGCTTTGTTGGGCTGTGTACATAGGCCCAATATTTTCTCAAATGTTATAACCTCTTCAATTCCTCATGTCTAAAATAAAGGATTTGATTGGTTGATACTTGACAATGTAGAAATAGGCTTTTGATTAAGAACTCTGTTGTAAGATGATTTTTTTTTTTAAACAAACCTAAAGATTATTGGTTGTATAAGTGCATCAATTACAGTAAAAATTTGGGGTCTAATGGTATACGGAATTTTGTAAAAAATTGATATTAAAAAAAAAAGACAAAGAGTATATTGAAATATGTATGAGCAACTTAAAGTGGTAAGGGCATAAAACACGACCATTAAGAAATTAAACTATATAACCTAAGTTTTTTTGTCACCTAAACACGCGGCAAAAAAATTCATAAAACGAATCAAAACCTTTGTATCTCAAACGGTTCACTCAATTGTTGTCATGGTTCTATCTTAGCAATTCAACATATTACATTCAGAAACAAACATTTTGTTATATATACCTTGAACTTAATTGATGTAATATTTCGATCTCATACAAGATCGTGGCAGGTATCCGAATGATGTCTACAATTGTTACTACTGGTACCCATTTTTCATGGAAAAGCTCTGAATACCAACATTAGATAGCCCTACTTCCAAATCAATGCACGGAGATCCAAATATTCCTCAAGAAGATCTAAGCCTATAAATTCAATTATTTTTCTCAATCGATTTTAAACTCAAATTGCATTTTTATTTATATATTAGAAGATGACTCGCATCACGCAAGTTTTTAGATCTAATAAATTTAAATCCGTAAACATGATAAAATAAAAAAAAATATCATTCGCAGTATTTTTATATAGTTTTATGTAGAACTTAATAATTTAAATGTTTATCGCCCATTTTAATGGTTTATTCAGCTGTTAAATAGTTTTATGAATAAACTTGTATTAGCCATTTAAATGTTTATCGCCCATTTTAACTTGACTAAATTGTAGAAGATTAAACTTGGCTAATATGTCAGATTAACAGCTGAATAGCATAATAATTGAATGATGAAATAGTTGAAGAATTAACAAGACAATAAACTTAAACTGAATTGATATAGATTTTAAACTTGTTGTTTTTCATGTTTTATCATTTGAGTACAAAGTTTTGTGAATGATATGTATTCGGTGGTGAAAAAACTGCATATATACTATTCAAGTCATTGTATTTATATTTTCAGTTGAACATTAGAAAATTGACTAGTTTTATATATTTCTACATTGTCTAATGTAATTTGTGTACCTTTAGTTTCTTGATACATAATTTATAAAATATGACTTACTCGTAATGAAAATAAATAAATAAATAAATAAAATTAGCTGGACTATTTTCTGATTCTGCATATACAACTTTTGTTTGATTTTATCAACACACAAACACACACATACATACACAAAAAAAAATATTATCCCATAAGTGCCCTACAAATTGGATAT